ACATACCTCTGCAAGTCGGAAATTAGAAGTGTTTGTGGCAAATCGAGTAAACAAAATTAAAACTTTGACAGATAATTATGAATGGAGATATGTTCCCACCGATGCGAACCCCGCAGATCTCGTTTCAAGGGGTGTAGATAATTTTGAGGAAAAAATTGCAAATTTTTGGTGGGGAGGCCCCGAGTTCTTAATTCAGGATGAGTCACAGTGGCCTGCCAAAAAGTATAATTCTCAGAGATGTCATAACTATGATGAAAAAATTATTATCTTGCAAACTGTAGTAGATAATGAACTATCTGAAATATTTAATAAATATACTAATTTGAATACCTTAAAGAGAGTAATGGGCTATATATTACGATTCATAAATAATTGTCAAAAATCGCAAGTAAAAATTACATCGTCATGTTTAACTACAGAGGAATTACAAAACAGTATAGATGCTTTAGTAAAATTAGCTCAGTCAGAGTCATTCGGGAGAGAAATACAGGCACTGAAGAATAATCAGTTTTTAGACCCCAAATCTAAGATTTTGTCTCTGAACCCATTTTTGGATGAAGTAGGTATGATTAGAGTTGGTGGTAGAATAGATAATTCGAAATTTAGCTACGATAAAAAGCATCCCATGTTTCTTGACGTAAAGCATCGCTTATCAGTCCTTATTTTTGAACATGAACATAGGCGTCTTATGCATGCGGGCCCTCAATAGCTATTAGCTGCGGTACGTGAGCAGTTTTGGGTCACTAACGGTAGCAACCTTGCCAGAAGTATACCTCACAAATGTGGGATCTGTAGACGTTTTCGAGCAAAGACACTGCAGCCTTTAATGGGTAATCTGCCAAACCAACGTCTCACTCCGGGAATACCGTTTGAAACAACAGGCGTTGATTTCGCAGGTCCCTTTTATATAACTGATAGAAAGGGTCGTGGTTGCAAAATAAGCAAATGTTACTTATGTATTTTTGTTTGTTTTGCGACCAAGGCTCTTCATCTGGAAGCGGTAAGCGATTTAAGTAAAGATGCGTTTATGTTGAGCTTAAAAAGATTTATCGCACGACGTGGTAAATCAAAGAATATATTTTGCGATAACGGTACTAATTTTGTGGGAACTAAGAATGAATTGGATAAGTTAATTTTGCATAATAAAAATGATTTAACTCGGATTGGTTCCGATGAAGGAATCAAATTTCATTTCTCACCAGCGTATGCACCAAATTTTGGCGGACTATGGGAGGTCGGTGTAAAGTCGGCCAAGTTTCATTAAAAAAGAATTTTAGGCGATAGACATTTTACTTTATTCGCTCAAATAGAATCTATCCTTAACTCTCGTCCTATCTGTCCCATGTCTTCCAATCCCAGCGACCTTTGTACTCTCACACCTGGGCATTTTCTCATCGGACGGCCAATGACAGCACTTCCATCGCCGCAGTTGATAGACGCAAGGATCAGCAGATTGGATCGCTATAATCAGTTGGAACAAATGAGACAACACTATTGGTCACGCTGGCACAACGAATATATAGCAGAACTACAGCATCGTATTAAATGTAATTGTTAAAGAAGACAACTTGCCACCATTAAAGTGGAGAATGGGGAGAATCCAAGCTTTGTTTCCTGGTAAAGATGGAATTCCTCGAGTCGCGGACATTTATACTAGCAATGGAGTAATTCGAAGAGCTTTGAGTCGACTTTGTCCTCTTCATTTTGTCGAGTCCAGCACTGAAGAGTTGAAGAATTCTTCTTCAACGGGGGAGGATGTTCGCGCTTGAACTACGCGCGGGAAATACGCAAACCGCCGAACACTACCGAATGATCACGACGGCGGCCGACGGGCGTTGTCGGCAACAATCGTTTTTTATTATAACGGCTCTTGAGAGAAGACAAGACAGAAAATTTGTACTCGCTTCGTTTGTTTGCATAAAGGATACATTATATTAATATTAATTGAAGATTAAATACTTGTAAAGGATTGGGATTATTATTTCCTGGAGTTAACAAAGCTCATTGGAAATGACGCGCTTTGGCGGGCAAATTTACAAAGCCTGGAACACCGACGCAAAGTTGCCAGTCTTTCGGTCTTCTATCGGTTGCATTTCGGTGAGTGCGCAGAGGAATTACATGAGCTAATTCCTCCCGCCCCTTTCTACTACCGGACGAGCAGGGAAACGGCAAGGCGACATCGATTCACGGTGGCAGTTCCAAAGACTCGCACTAAGCGATTCGCGTCTAGTTTCATCGTGCGGACTGCCAAACTGTGGAATTCCTTGCCTGAGCCCTTGTTCCCCGAGCACTACAATCTAGCGGTCTTCAAAGCAAGAGTGAACCGGTTTTTATTAGGTAAGCGCGCTCCATCGTAGACCATAATATTGCTTTCCATCAGGCGAATTATGGTCAAGCGCTTACCTATTACCGAATAAAAAAAAATAAAAAAAACTTATTCCAATTTAACCCTACGAAAACACAGGTATGCGCGATTACGGCAAAATAAATATCATTTTTCGTATTCCCTCGTTTTGAGAACAATCCTATAACTGCCTCAGCTATATTGTAATTCTTGGCGTTGACATATCGAGTGACGTCCAGTTTTGGGACTATTTGGAGAGCAGGACCAAATTGGCCTTTCAGATACTTGGTGTGCTCAATAGACCGGAAAAGTACTTCACACCGCACAGTGTTTTATGGAACCAAAAAAATTTACATGTTCAGGTTCTTACATAAATAGATTATTTATACCCTAAAAAAGGCATGAGTTCAATTTACAGAATTCTAACTCAAATACTTTTTGAGAAAAAAAATCATGAACTTATCGTGACCTTTGACCTATGAAATCTAGAATATTTTTTTATAAACTGAATATTAACAATATATTTTTTTAATAAATATGTGTCAATCGGGCATAATCAGAGGCGTATAAACGCGTTTCTTGAGCTTAAAAAAATGCATTGGTTTGGGAGCAGCATTTTTTTTTTGTATTTCGTATTTATTGTTTTTTCTCCCTAAAAACGAAAAAGTGGAACCTAGAACTTAGATAGAAATAAACCTACGGATGTGGTCTATCATACATAAATAAGCCACGTGTCACTTTTGTGGCGTTTAGAAGATATTAATTTTTAATTTGTTATGCTAGGGTTGACACCGAGTGTTTCATAGAACCAAAAATATTTACACCTTAAGGTATTTGCATAAATCAATTATTTAAACCCTAATAAAGGCAAGAGTTCAATTCCCAGATCACTATTTTAAGTAAAAAAAAAGATATGAAGTAGCAAAGTTTTTGAAATTTGCGCATGAAAATATTAACAATTTAATTTCCTCAAAAGACGGTTCCATATCTGTCCATGAGATATTTATTTTGCCACTTGCTAAGGAATTATTGATGGCATAATTTTGTAATTTTATTTTATTTATAAGTGTCCTAGTTTCCAAGTAATATAGTTTTTTTAAATTTCGATTTTTAATTTTTTTCTCCAAAAATCGGCATAAGTGAAACCTGGATTTAGTACAGAAAGGCTCTATAAGCCAAGTTCTATCACTCATAAAAAAATCAAGTTTCACTTTTGCGGTTTTAAGAAGTTATGACAGAATTGTCAGAATCTAGGGTTGAAAAATATGTCCGTTTTTATAGTTGGTACCCGATGACAGTAACAGTTCGTAAAATCCTCATGCACGGTGAAGAAATTATTGCGTCCAGTGCACTGCCCATCGGTATGCTATCTGAACAAGCAGCTGAGTCCCGAAATAAATTCTAGCGTTCAGACAGAGAGCATCATTGCCGAAAAATGAACAGGAGAACCACAATGACGGACCTCTTTCACCGTGCCCTAGAATCATCAGACCCGTTTATTTCTATGGCAAATATCAGCCAACGTCGAAAATATTCTAAGCGATTTCCCTTGCCTTCAGCTGTTTGCGAGCTCTTACAACCAATTGATGCAGATCGATTGCCGTTATTCGAAGCAGAGGAAGATGCTGAAGATGAAGATTTTTCGAACGTCGCAAATGAAAGCAACCTAGAATTATTAAACGAAGATGATTTATTTGTATAAAAGTTAAAGTAGTGGTGTTGCATAAAGAAGGTGCCGGCAGGTGATGCCACTATCCTAGATTAATTTTAAATTAGAATGAATTTCTAAATCCAAAATTTCATCACAATCGTTAGATCCGTTTCCGAGAAACCAATTACATACCAATATATTTATATAGGTACATACAATAATTGCTCGTTTATAGTATAGGATGTGTGTTAAATTTTTTCAAACAACATAGTTTATTTTTTCGTTGCCATTTAGCGTGTAAGGCAAAATTAAAATGTGGTCGTCAAAATTAAAACATAAAGTATTCCTACATTATCACATCTACATTAGGTAGGTAGTATATGTAAGTATATTGTATTCGTCTATAAGTACAACACTTATTCAATTATAATATAATATAATTTATTCAATTGATTGACGGTATTAATAACAAAAAAATTTAACATTTTCATTTAACTCATAGTTGACCTTTGTGACAACCCTAGATCATGAAAGTTGACCTTTATCTAAATTCTGTCATAACTTCTTAAAACCGCAAAAGTGAAACTTGATTTTTTTATGAGTGATAGAACTTGGCTTATAGAACCTTTCTGTACTAAATCCAGGTTCCACTTTTGCAGATTTTTGGAGAAAAAAATTAAAAATCGAAATTTAAAAAAACTATATTTCTTGGAAACTAGGACACTTATAAATAAAATAAATTTACAAAATTATGCCATCAATAATTCCTTAGCAATTAGCAAATATCTCATGGACAGATATGGAACCGTCTTTTGAGGAAATTAAATTGTTAATTTTTTCATGCGCAAATTTCAAAAACTTTGCTACTTCATATCTTTTTTTTTACTTAAAATAGTGATCTGGGAATTGAACTCTTGCCTTTATTAGGGTTCAAATAATTGATTTATGCAAAAACCTTAAGGTGTAAATATTTTTGGTTCTATAAAACACTGTGCACCGGCCCAACGACTACAACTTTATAAGATACAAATTCGGCCTCACATGGAGTTCTGTTCTAATCTTTGGGCGGGGGCACCCCAGTACCAGTTTCTCCTTCTGGATCGCATCAAGCGCCGAGTGGCTTGAATCATCGACGACAAGAATCTTTCCAATTAGCAGAGCTTTTCAATCTTTCGGCAGAGCCAAAAAACGATCAAGGCTCTGCGTAAGGATAAAGATTCGCTCTGCATCTTCTATCGCTATGTCACGGCGAATGTTCTTTTTTCGGATTCATTGCAGTTGCTGCTTTTCGCCATCATACAACTCGACAAATTTTCAACCCGTGCAATTTTGCGATTTTTTTAACAAAGTAGTAGTATTTTTTTTTAACTACGTACGACAAAACTGTAGAATTCATTCTCACCAGCAGTGCTGCCGGACCAATACGGCCCTAAAACGCGCCTACCCTTGCGGTGTTAGCAGAATACTGACGTCGCAGCGCGGCATTTTGCTGAGCGAAAGCCATTTTCGTACAGTAGGATTTGTTATCTGTTTTTATTTTCATTGGTGTCTTTTTTTTTATTGTAAGTAACAGTTTCTACCCACTTACCAAATAAATATTTCCCTAATTCTATTCTATTCTATAAAATCTAGGTAATATTATATTGGTCAACAATGTAACAATATAAAACTTCGACACAACCTTCCTAAACTTCGTTTTCTTTTACAATCCTGGGGAAAAAATCCCAGAAATTAGTGATTTCTTCAGTTTAAGTTGTGGAGATCATTAGCAAACAATCAATCAAGCAATCGAATGACGATGTAAGAACTCGTTTGGTTAGTTTGGTCAGTGTTGCCACCTTGGTGGTTTTTCCACCAGAACTGGTGCTTTTTCACGGCTTCTAGTGGTATATTTTCATTATCTAGCGGTTTTTTTTTAGTGTTTTTCAGTTGTTTTTTATCATAAAATCTAGCAACATATTATTAAGGGGGAAATCCCCTAACTTTCCGGAATTTCATAATGTTCTATGCTTACTCTGTGACAGGAAATTCCTACACGCGTTTGTCTGTTAAGGGATTCCTTTAATCGTTCATTCTGTTTCAGGAATAAGGTTCGCGTTCGCTTCATTTTCGCGTTCATTGTGTTGTTAAAAAGTGTAAAAGATTGATTTGATAGAAACATTTGTAACAGTGTATGAACTCCTGAAGCTGTATAGTTAGAGTATTCAATTATATGTTATTATGGAAATTCTATTCAAGAAAAAGAATTACTTACAAAAGTATAGAAAAGAATGGGAATCACTCGACGAATTCCAAACCTGGCTTAAACCTTTAGCAGGTGTTGATGCGAAGGCGTTTTGTTCATTTTGTAAAGCACAATTATTAGCAAAAGTAGTAAATTTTACAAGACATGCTGAAACAAAAAAGTACAAACAAAAAATGCAAATTCTATCCGGCAATCAAACGATATCATTTAAAAAACACAAAATACTCTTTCAAAAATCCACTACAACCACAACCAAACATCTTCAGCTTCGACATCGATGAAGTCGATGAAGCGTCGGCGTCTGTGAACGACGATGAAGTTATAGAACATGTAATAATTGTTATCTAAGATTTATTTCTTGATTATAAATAATGAATGTAAAAACATATTTACCCGGTTTTATTACATTCTCTAGTACTACTAAGGTAACGCTCGAAAAAGTTTTAAGTTAGTAAAAACAATACTGCCATTTTATTAAATAACTAAATTTTACTAATTTAGAACGACTGAGGGATACAGTTATTTTTGTAGCGTAACATACATATTCACTGGTTTTTATTTAAATTAGGGTTTTTTGTTGTCTGAGATGTAATTGTAATTTAGCGGATTTTGGTGTATTTTATTAAATCCAAATTTTTGAAATCTGGCGATATTTTACCTTTCACTTGGCACCTTAAAAAAATCCAAGGTGGCAACACTGAGTTCGGTCGGTGACTACTTCTAATGACGCAGTTGCGCGTGCGCCATCGGCGTGATTGGCGGGCGTTTCGGATTTTAGAACGATGAGTCGGCGCTCATTAAAGATGTCATCAAAGCATCGACCCTCCACACCCATCTTCAAAATGGAGTGTTACACATCGGATAGTTGTGACAGTGATAGCAGAGAACAAAAAACACTTGATTTATCCTGCCAAGCATTGGAGTCCAACTCGTTATCATCCGATCTAGAAGGCATAGTCAATGAAAATGGCTGTGCGAAAAATTACGAAATAATTCTACTGTACAACAACAGAATAAGGACTGTGCCTGACACCATAAACAGGTTTTGCAACTTGAAGATATTGGATGTGAGCAACAACAGGCTAACAGTTCTGCCGGATGTACTCAAGAACTGCCCCCTCACAACTCTGATTGCAAATGACAATCAGCTGACTAATGAATCTTTACCAAAGTGTTTTTATTCTGCCAAGACCACTCTCAGGGAGCTTAATTTGAGTGGCAATCAATTAACCAATTTCCCTGAACAAGTCTTAGAGATAACTTCTCTCAAATATCTATATTTGGGTGGTAATTGTATAGTCAATATACCAAAGGACATATGGAAACTAAGCAGGTTTGTAGATGATAACGAGTTTTTACTAAAAATATTCTTAATACTTAACGTAAGTAATGTTTTCATATCCCGCGATGACGTGCTCGTCGCTTCGATCATTTTTTAATATATAAACAAATGCTTTTATCTCTTTGTTCCCAGTATTGTATGTATAGAGATTGTTAAATGGCTATTGAATTTTTATATAAATATTTAAATTACCGTCTGTCTACTATTAAGAACTGTAGGTATACTTACTGTAGGCATGGACGTATAAAAAAAGGCGGACAGAGTCCCGGTAAACAACAAACTGTGTCGCTCAGAGTCGGCCAGGTCGCTATACGTACAAGCCGGCACACACACATTCACACCATAGTCAGTCATTACGCGTGCAAACGTCAAAGCAGCCGACACGTTACGTGGAGATAAAAATAAGTTAAACAAGATGTCTTGCGTGGTAAAATGGTGTAAAAACCGTAGTGACCGAAAGAAAAAAATCCAGGAATCACGTTTCATAGGCAAATGAATTATTTAATCACTTTTTTCCAGTTTTTAGAAATCGAAATCAATTTTCACTCTAAGGACAAAATGATTAGTCTAAAGCCCAGTGTTGCTAATGTTCATGTAACCATATTACCTAAAATATGGGAAATTGGGTTGACATTAACTTCAATCTATTATTTATTATTCTTTTTTATCAGATTTAATAAAGAAAATGTAGTATGGAGAAATTACTGGAAAATGAATGATTTCCAAACAATTAAGTAGTAGTGTCATTTTTAGTCTTCATTTTGAAGCTCAAGACTTATATACAACTAAAGGAGGACTCCGGCGTGTTATTACGTATGCATTACCTCAAAAGGTTGATTAAATTTTTTAACCGATTTAGAAAAGAAAGAGGTTCGCAATGCGTCATATTTGTTTTTTTTTATTATTGTTCGCGCAGATCTCCGAGATTCGTGGACCGTTTATGATGATTCTTTTTTTGTTTTAATCAGTTTACTAGCGTGATGGCTGCATATTAATTTACTGGAGATCTGAAGAGTACTTTCGGAGGAAAACAATGGGTCTCCTCAATTACAAACAGTACTCAATGGGTGTTAGTTTATTTTAAGAAATATGAAAGAGAATGTAGGCCAGGCCATCTATATTTAGTTGATTCACCCAATATTGAGAAAATTCGATACATTCTAGAATTTCTAATGAGTCCCGACTGTTAAAATAACTTTGTTCCTTATTAAACAGAATTCTAGACTACTGGACTTGTTTTTTTCTTTTTAGTACATTTTTTTTTTATTTTCGACATTTTAATTTCATTATTTTTAATTACACGAGTTGTATATTTTCTAAATATTATTTTAAAACCCTTCACTTTGATACCTCGCTTGACGGGTTATAAAAATACTTATACTTTTTTTTTCAAAATGTTTCATTTTGGCGCATAAAATCTGTTATTTTGATTTTTTGAAATTTTTATATACCGAGTGCCACTCACACAATCACGACAAATCAAATGACACCTCGCATGTCAAAATCCGTCAAGACGTTCAGGCTGTAGGGCGTGCCAAATTATTGGACATACATACATACATGCATACATACGCTCGAAAAACATTATCCTCCGCAGTCGGGCAAAAAGTAAAATTTTGAACAATCAAAATATTTTCATTTTTTTACTGTGTTTTATTGGTAAAAAATTGGCTAACCTAGCAACCCAACAATTCATTCACTCATCAATAGCCGCCGCCATTACGGTGCCTCAGTATTGTCTTAGCCGAAACTCTGTCCGCCTTTTTTTATACGTCCTTGACTGTAGGTATTTGCTTCTTTTTCTTCAGACATAAATCAATTGGGTCAATAATCAGCTCTAAAGTTAAATAATGATTATCAAAATTGTATTAGTAAGTAACAATCTACCTAGGTACATAGATATAAGTAGTCAAAGTATTGTTTGGCGTCTTTATGGGTATTATCCTACTTATCATTTACTCAAAGATATTTACTTTGTAATTGATTGATTCACTGTTATATAACTAGCTATACCACCGTACAAATAACATACTCAACACGTGCCAGCCGTGTTTGCAACTTGCACTTTTCTTGTTAATATTTTACCAATATATTTTATATCTATGTTAATGGGACAGTGTCATACATACCAATTAAGAAATTGCACACTTAATGGGACAATAAAATAAATCTTTGTAACCTACCTATCCACAAACTGAAAACCTATGACCCCTCTGTATCTATGAACGGTTTGATACGCGCAAACACGACAATCTGCTGTCGAGCAATTGTGATGAGATAACAAACTGTTTTCCCACTTATCAGTAGCTAGACTGACAATGTTTTGTTAACTAGGTACATACCTATAGCAAAAACTTAGCCAAGGCTAGTGGAAAATGCAAATAGACTATTAATGCGTTTTGAAGTTAAAACCAAATAGATTACTAAAGCATATATAATATTTTGGTCAGGATCTTCTTTTATTTATATAACTATATTTTATGTTAAACTTTGACACTAAATAAGTAAACTGCCTAGTTTACTTCATTACTCTAAACTAGCGGCCGCCCGCGAATTCGACGCGTGGAGTTTGTTAGAAATAAAGGTTCACTGCTCGTTCCCCGTAGGTGATACCGTGATAATATATAGCCTATATGTTGACCCGACTTCATAATAATATTTGTGCCAAATTTGAAGTAAATCCATGCAGTACTTTTTGAGTTTACCCCGGACATACATACAGACAAACAGACAAAAATTCTAAAAACAATTTATTTGGCTTCGGTATAGATTGTAGATCACACCCCAAGTATTCTTTTAAAAAAATAATCAATTTTAGTATATGTATAGATAAGCGAATATTATTGTAAAATACGAGTATATTTCAATCAGATCAATTTAAAAACTTACTATGTAGTAATTAACTTACGAAGATATTAAGACTACCAATCAATAGACAATTATTTCCCGACATAACTAGTCTACTTAGTAAGAATTAAGAGTGGTACCTAGGGACTATTGGGTACCATACCTTGTTATACAATCGCAATGCTTCATGGCCATACTATTTTGCAATGCTGAGACAACGCGTTAAAGTTAATTTGTAGTTCTACCATGGTTTTACGTAGATAGACAAGAATCCCGAAACACTTTTCCTCTACTCTACCCGTAACAGAAAATAGTAGTACTTACCAAAAACTTACCATAATGTAATAAAGGTATTTAAACAACCACTACTGTACCAATTCCTAATTAAAAAGGTTGTGTGTATCTTCAGCTTACAGATTCTATCAATAGGAGCGAACCAAATCACAGATGTACCGGATACCGTGGGTCGTTTAGTGGGTTTGCAAGTGCTTGTTTTGAGCGACAACCTCATAGAACAGCTGCCAGCAAGCATAGCCAATTTGAAACAACTACGCTCTCTGCTACTGCACGAGAATCGGCTGAAGACTCTACCTACGCAAATAATTAAGTTGACACGTCTTACAGAGGTAAGTAAAGAAACCAGTGGAAGAATATGAAAAGAAGAACCTTAGTATTCTATTCACAGCTATTTCGTTGGTAGAACTATTAACTTTATAGGTTTCACTTGAACAATGAATAGGTACTTCATTAATCAACTAGCCCTTGCTTCATCGCTCGCCCATAAGTAAGACCTAATAGTCTACACCACAGAACACAGGAAGAGGTTAGAAGGGCCTTGTGAGGCAGGCGCGACAGTTAGGCAAATTACATAACTTGACGAACAGGATTTGACGAATTACCAATTAGCCTAATTTCTAAATTTTCGATTCGTGCAATATCAAATTTGATCAATGTCGTAACCCCTACACAGGGGTGTTCCCGGTGTCGGGGTTTAGTGCACCTTTTTTTAGAAAAGTACCACCACCCTGGTGCCCTGCCTGTGATATTATGTCTTCGTGAAAAATGAATTTAACTGGTTTTCCACCCGCTTTCAAGGGTTGCTGTAATTCCATCATCCGCCGGGGCCTTGTCGTTCTTCAGTTGTTTGGGAGCAATACTAATCTCATATAGGCTGGTGTCTGGGGTATTTTCGGTATAGTCTCGGAGAAATTTGTTTCTGTGTTGCGACGTAAAATTGTGAATATAATCCCTTGACCCTTCTCAAAAGCTCAAGTTTCGATATAACATGTTGTTTAAGGAACATTAAAGAATTTTCTTTGCTGGTGGCGGTTCCTCGTGGGTAGTTACGGCTGCTGTATCAACGGCAAACAGCCATTTGATCTGAAGTAAAATTATGGGAGAGAGCCAAGCACCTGAACGTAAAAGAATCTGTCAGCAAGAAGAGTTGTTTTATAAATTTGTATAATATATATTTGTACTAAACTTAGTTAAAGGTCTGGGAAATGTTCAGGAATACCGCCCAACAATATACTTAAAAAAATGCTTAATTTGAAAGCTTTATGGATTTCTTCTAGCAGTATATGCACTTCCTTTATCGAGGCATATTTTCTAAAGCCAAATTGATGGTCAGGTAAGACTTTGAATACTGCTATTACAGTGTTGAATTGCTTTAAAAATTATTTCCACAAGCTGCGAAAGATGTGCAACAAGCAGTAGTGGTCTACGGGAACACGCATTTTCGTAAGCTTGTCCGGTTTGAAGGTTATTTGTATCCGTCATATTAATTTTTATACTTTTAATATATTGAATGTCTCCCTCACAACTAAGAAAAATCTAACTACACCTCTCAAGCCATAATCCATCAAACCGTTTGAGCTACCGAGTTTGCCAAAGTAATAAAAATACAATTGAAAAACATAACTACATTTCTTGTGAAGTCGGGTAGAAAGGGCCCCGCACAGATCTGTCGCCAGGGGCCCCGCAATGCTTCAAGCCGTCCCTGCCCGAAGAAAGCAAGGATGTGAGCATGGACAACAGATGACATTCACTGCACGATGCAAAATTAGAGAATTGAATTGTTAGTTCTGGATTCAGTCTATGATATATCAATCATACTTCTCTAGCACTACGTTCAGAGAGACTGTCGCTTTCCATTCCATCTAATAGATCCACGTGAGGAATACTGGTTGCTTATAGTAGAGTGGTGTCATCCGCGTAGCGTTAATTCGAAATAGTCAAACTTCCAACCGCGTCATCTTGCTAGTCCAATCCTCATGATAAGTTCAGTGTAAATATTATACGAAGGAGAGATAATACATCCTTGGTGGACTGCGGTACTAGGCTTTGACACGCTTATTTACTCATGTAGAAGTATTTTACTTGAATGGGATATCAATGCAATAAGTCGATAATTGCTGCAAGTTTTCGTAGAGCTTTTCTTGTGTAATGGGACGACAACTTTAAGAGCCCACTCTTTCGGCCATGTCCCTGTCTGACAGATGCGATTATTGTAAACGGCGTGAGTCTCGGTAAGAAAATGACCATTGCCCTTCCAGTGAGTTTCACTAAGGCCCCAGATGCTCGTTCAATAAGTAGTTGGTCCATGCCTAAGGCCAAGAGGGCCATGGTCCGGGCGGCAGGCTGGCAAGGGGCGGTTGCAAGAGCTACGAGAGGTAGCAGCAGCCATATAAGGCATACAGACCTAATATTACGATGTATACTTATTTGGATTAACATTGCATAAATAGTATTTAATTTTGTATTTGTACTGTATGATACGGTATTTTTATGTTTAGTTTGACTATTCAATCAACTTAATTGAATAAGATTTAATTCAATTACCTACGATTTATTTATAAGCCGTCTCCTGTATAAACTTTATTTTTGTAATTGTTTGCAGACTATTATATCTATTATGTTGCAGTTTAGCATAGACGGTTATAAGTAGTCAGGCTCTCTTAAAAATCTCTTCGGTGGTGTCGTCTGAGGCGGGTCGTTACGTTCCCTAAAATATGGATGAGCGAAGCGAAGGCTGGTTCATGCGTCATTCTCATGCTCGTGAACGGGTGCCGCCAGCCACAGTGGTCTGAAAATCGACTCATAGAAATTTAATGTCTGAAATAATTAAAAAAAAATGGATTGGATTTAGTATACATCCCTCTTTTTAATATTATAGTATGAAGGGTATGAGTAGTACCACGCCTGAGAAAAAAAATATTTTGTTTTTTTTTTGTATGGGAGAAAACACTTTGCATTTTTTTGAAACTGAATGGAACTGAAAGGCTGGTACTCATATGAGATATTGCACCTTACATGGCGAACCAGATGACGTATAATATTTGTGCCTTTCGATGCCGCTTTGCGTGTAGGCAACATTCGAGATGTTAAATTTTCAGTATATGATTTTTCAATTGTTTGATGCTAGGTACTCTTATTTGTGGAGTTATAAGAATGTGCCTTTGAATATAATAATAATAAATTTTCATTCATATAATAAATAATTATATTATTTAGAATTATTTTTGCTTTAATGAGCGCGCAAGTATTTTTTTAAATTAGAAAATATGTAGTAAGTTTAATCTTAAATGATTTAAGTATGTGTTAATAGCTGTGTTTAGAGATTTTCTCTGCACAGGTCTTATGCCGGACAAATAAGGATCTGACGAGACAATGGTCTTCTTTTGTCGCTTTTCTACTAAATTTGCGCGAGTGATGTTCTCGGATTTTCTTTAAGTCTTTTTTCTGGCTTCCGATGTCTCTTCAGATAATTTGCCAATAGGCATAATATTGAAGTGTTCAATAACTTCAGCACCATGCAATAAAAGCTTGTGGACACTCGAAGGCATGTGGTACCAGCCATAGAGCTCCACGTGCATTTCTGCAGTGTGGCGTGCAAAAATTTTAAATGCCTCAACATTTATGGGCCCTCCACAGGCTATCCCCCGCAAAAGTGTTGCAAATCTTGGGATCAAACTGGAATCTAAACCTGTAATAGCTGCACTTTTGGCAGGATCACATTAAATTTCCTCGCTGTGTTTCCATCATTTGTGTTTCCGGAATCTGAAATAAAAAAACAACAGCTTTTCAAATAAAATAACTTGGGTCATTCGAAAAAATAAGGTTTAAGAACAACGACTATTACTTTAACTCACCTTGCTTAACAATGTGTACTAGAAGGCCCATTTCATCACGGAACTTCTGCTGTATAGTTTTCTACCTTTCAATGAGTCTTTGCTGCTTGGATCTCTGGCTTGCCATGTTTTGAAGTCCAGTCTATACGAAATATGGATTAGACACTCCATACTCCTGACCGCATGAAGTGTAGATAAACCATATTGATATATTTCCGTTGAGACAGGTTACCTGGAAAGAAAGTAAATTAATTAATAAATAGATACAGTAGCAAGCTGCAATTATTTTATCAATCTATTCAAAACTCACTCTGAGATCTTCTCTAACATATTCATTTCCGAAGGTGTAGCTTCACAGATGTCACAAGTCTGCGTTGAGGTTTTTAATAGTTGGGAAGTGATTTTGCCATCTATCGTAGTCATAAGCATTGAGTGTTTAACAGTATGACTTCCCATAATAGACGGTTTCAGTGCTGTAATCTCAGCTTCAACCAAAGCCTGTTCTTCCGTAATATTCAAATTATTTTCATTAACAAAAATGAAATAGAGTGGCCTGCAGAAGATTGTGGAAGATCGCTTTGGATTCTCCCATATCTTTTCTTTGCCACAAACTAAGCGTAGAGGCACAAAATAACATATAAAAATGCTGGAATCATCTTCACCAGTTATAGTTTGCTTGTACAAACTTTGCCCTGAAGCACCATCAAAGCCCCACTTGCATATCAGTGTTAGCTCTTTGCCACCCAGTGAAAATTCCAAACGTAGGAATTTACCAAGTCTAGCAACAGTTTTGTCCAAAATCGCTTGAAGCTTTACTTTTACCCCTCTTTCTGTGATTTCTATGGCACCTTTTGGTGGGTAGCAGTCCTTCTTCGCCTCTAACATAGCTGTATATGAAGGTATTCCTTCTTCTTTTGCACAAGCTCTTGATGTTGTATACTACAACTTAGAAAGTTTCAACGAGGTCATTAAACCTAAAGCTTCATCGGCGAATATATGGGTACAGTTTTCTTGGACTTCAATAAATCCTTTATCTTTGTAGCCTCTTCAGGATGCTCTGTGACTAATTTTATTATATCTGCTACATTCTTGTTTTCTGCACTTAAGCCAGTTGCATAAGTAAGGCTTTCAGTGCTGTGCTTTAGGAACTCGTCCACTCTTCTTCTCTTATGTAGTGGGCTTAGCTCAGTAAACGTTTTTCTCTGACTCGCAACTGATATTGATGTTCCAACACTGCATCTCTCCGGTTTGTATGATGTTGATGCACCCTCATTTATACCGAAGTTAGAACTCGAACATGGTTGTTGCATTACAGACCCTAAAGAATTTGTCATCTTTTCCTTCATGAACTCGGGCCATTTTATGACTTCTTGCAGCCATGTCTCATACTTCTTTATGAATGTGTGTCTCGTAAGATTGCATGTGATCCATTTGTTCCTCAAAGAACACACATAAGTCTGGCAGAATTGTTTCAATTCTTTATTTTCATTCGCTGTCAAATCAACGGCATTCTCGAAAACTTCAAATAACACAATGGGCTGTGAGAAACAGCTATTGTTTGCAACAAACATGAAAATATCTAAATTGGTACCAAAACCTTCCATTATATTACGGGAAAAATCGAACTTAATAAGTATAGTAAGCGCGCACAAGTGCAGAAAGTGAAGTTAGCCAAACCACCCTATTTATATGTAACTACCCTCATTAAGGGTAATATTAATTAATTATTGGGTTGTCTGGAAGAAATCGCTCATTAGCGATAAGACCGCCCTTTGTGCAATGTTTTATTTTTCTACTTGTTTTGTATCTGCTTGTTTTGTTACTGTGTTGTGCAATAAAGAGTTTTTATCTTATCTTAAGCTTGTTGCCCCATTAATGATTATGTTATAAGTAGCTAATTAAAACTCAACAATAATGAGAGTAATTACCAAATGAGTTACTTAAATGAATAAAATTTAAAGTAAGAAAACATAATAATCTTTTTTCTGTTATTATCACTATTAAAGGTCTTTAATAGGTCATTAACTAACGACAATATCAGTAATATAGTCGGTTACTTCATTTAAGTACGTTAAAGATTTGAAAAGTTATATACTGAAAATTCCAAATTTTCAAAGGTAAGGCTACATGCAAAGCGGCATCGAAAGGCACAAGTATTATATGTCATCTTGTTCGCCGTGTAAGGTGCAATAACTCATATGAATACCAGCCTTTCAGTTCTATTCAGTTTAAAAAAAATGCACTTTAAGTGATTTCTCCCATACAAAAAAAAAACTAAATATTTTTTGTCTCAGGCGTGGTACTACTCTACTCATACCCTTCATACTATAATATTAAATAGAGGGAGGTACACTTAATACAAAACTTTTTTTTTTATTAATTTCAGCCATTAAGTTTCTATGAGTATGTAGCTCGATTTTCAGACCACTGTACAGCGGGAATAAGTCTGCTCCAAGGAACTTTGTCTGCTCTATACCGCTTCATTATTAGTGCAGTCAATTGAAGCATTATTGCTCCGAATTTTTTTACTGTGAACCGAATTGCATACAATTTTGGAATTAGGTTCATCTTACCCTTAACTTCAAAAGTGAAAATGATTTGAACTCCGCAACCATCCTGGGAGTGGTTGCCAGCCCAGATTTAAAAAAAACACAAAATTTCAAATTTTTAAAAAACCCACTTTTTTTCATAATATCTCAAAAATGACGACAGATACGTATAAAAGTGTACAAATTAAAAATTTAGGTATTTTTCTGACAAACAATTTTTTTTTTAATTTTTCTGTCAAACAAATATTGACGGAGATATGATTCTTTAAAGAGCGCGTGGCAGCACAATCACAGCCTCTCTTAAGCCCTTTAACCCTTCACCGTTTTAGAAAACGATTTTTTACTATATTTTGCAATGAAGGATGTTGTAGCTCTCTTAATTACCTTTACAATGGTTTTTTATAAATTGTGATAGCATGAAAATTGAAGGAGTTATGGTCCAAAAACTTATCATATTTTTTTCTACTTAGTAACTGAAAATTTCGGAGTGTGAATATTTGGAGCAATGTGAAAGTACGCATAGTCCAGTCGGAATAGCCATAATTTGGACCGACTTCTATTCTAAGACACCAGCGCTTAGCCAATTTTTTCCTAGGTAGTATAGACCCCCACGAATATGCCCTCCATTTGTCCCCGCTAGAACCCGTGTTTTGTAGCCAGGAAAATTGTTTAAACAAAGAAAACCCGTTTTTTTTTTGAGTTTTTTTGCTTGTAAACGGGGATTTTGAAAATTTTTTTGAATCAAAGTTGTTCATTAGCTTGCCCTCTACAAAATCAGTTCTATGAAAAAATAACGTGAGATTGTTAGTTTAGCAGTAAATTGCAATTATGTCGGTTTTACGTTTGCAACAATTCAACATGTTATAATAAACATTTTTTTTTTTAAACTAATGTATTTTTCTCTCCTCAACTCGAATATACTACTCTGAATATATATATATATAATATATATATAATACTAATATACCCTGAGAATTCCGATTATGAACCGGAAGAAAAAAGGACGAAATTAATTTAATTAGAAATATAGAATACAACGCAGTCTTGTAATCGAATTTTAGTTAATAGTTTTGTAAATAATTTCTGTACATAAATAAACTGAATTTTTAAAATTTTCAATCGTATATTCGAGTTGAGGAGAGAAAAATACATTAGTTTAAAAAAAAAATATTCTACGTCAATTTTTTAAAAAAAATTAATTCGTCCAAAAACGAACATTTTTATTAACGATTTTTTTCTACTCGATCGATTCCTCAAAATTCTTGGTGAATCGAATCACCTGAATTTTTTTCCCCGCTGTGCGCCTTCTGGGAAAGACGGGACAGGCAAGGACTTTTTTTCGGAGATTGAGAATTGTTGCTAAAGTTTGCGACACAGGTCGATAAATTTTACATGACTCTCTTGGGAGTGGCGTTACCCACATGATAAACTACTTTAGAAATCAAAATGTTTATTATAACATGTTGAATTGTTGCAAACGTAAAACCGACATAATTGCAATTTACTGCTAAACTAACAATCTCACGTTATTTTTTCATACAACTGATTTTGTAGAGGGCAAGCTAATGAACAACTTTGATTCAAAAAAATTTTTAAAATCCCCGTTTACAAGCAAAAAAACTCAAAAAAACCGGTTTTTCTTTGTTTAAACAATTTTCCTGGCTACAAAACACGGGTTCTAGCGGGGACAAATGGAGGGCATATTCGTGGGGGTCTATACTATCTAGGAAAAAATTGGCTAAGTGCTGGTGTCTTAGAATAGGTCTCATGTTTATTCCGACTGGACTAGCAGTATAATAGAGACCCACAACTATTGTAATGTGTATATATACATAATATGGCTCATATATTTTGGAAACGTAGGCATGAATACATACCAACGTTCTTAAATGTATATATAACACATTTGAGTGAAGGGGCCAACGAAAAAGCCATGTTATCAGCTGTGCGTGCTCCGTTTATTCGTTATAATGTGACCAGTATATTTCCGTCTGCAAAGGAATGAGCACGTGTTTAATATAATATTTTAACTAAACAACCAATTTCAACACAATTTGTTTAATAAAAAAATGTAAGTAGATTTAAAACCTGTTTTTTTTAATAATATCTTATTAAAATTGTGCCATAAAATTATATTATCCAAAAATCGAATGAAAATATCGAGCCGTTACCGCCAAATTATCGTAAGCGACACTTTTGTCGAAATGCGTTTTTTGTGGAAACTAATATTTTAAACCGTAACGGACCCATCTCTGTTGATATTTCCCCCCAAAAGAACACCGTTATATTATAAATATGATGGGTCCGTTACGGTCCGTTACTGTTTGTATTTATACTGCATGCATGACACAGCAATCAAAATGTGACTGGATGTTTTTGTAAATATTGCTACTTCTGTTAAATGCTGATGAGTTTCTTGCACTCATTCTCCTCATCAGCTAAAATATGTCCTGAATGGGTGGTTGGAAAAAATATTGGACTATTCAAAAGAGCTTTCAATAAGTCAATTTGAATAAAGTAACTACTATAATTTCATTTCATTTGATATTTCTAAGGGGGAAAGTGCATACATTTTTGTAGACATTTTCCTGAAGAAGAGAACACGGCTCTACAATCATAAAGATCTTCCGCTATCGCAAAATCGTTCAGCCGTAGTCGCGTCGTTTATAATGCCTGTCATAATGTTTACTACATTTTTATAGATAATTTCCATATTTTTACGACCTCTTACTTACGACCTGAGTTGAATATTTTCTTATTAAATTTTTTTGAACTTTGATAATCGGTACCATTTTAATTTAAAATAAAGCTGTCCACGTTAACAGTAGGTCTTTTGTACGGCGGAACCAGTGGCGGACTAACAGGGGGGCGGAAGGGGCGGCCCGCCCCGGGCCTCCGGTCTTGGGGGGCCCCCAAATGCCTCTGCGTTCCTCTGATCAAATCCTAAACTAGACTTTACAAATGTGCTAAGTACTTACATAATTTTATCAAGATCAAAAAACCACAGCCAACTAGACTTTTTACGCGGTTCTAATATTCTTTTAACATCGCTGAACGCGTCCAATACGCTGAGGAATCCCTAAATGAATGAAGTACAAATAATTCACTCTTGTACGCCTACATTTATTAACATTCACTATATTTAAGTCGAAAAATAAAGATTGACCTCATTTAAAATATAGGTATTAAATTTAATTGAATACGTTGATATTTAATAGTTGTTTCGATATTTTCATGAACGGATAAGCCTTTTTTCAAATTATAAATAAATATTTAAGTATTTATAGTATTAGTTTTTAGTTTTATTACGCGATCTTATCCTTTCAAAGTAACCTCATTAAAAAGTGTAATAGTGTTTTTGATTTTTGTTGCGGTACAAAAGTAAATGACTTTAGAATCGAGTTAGTGCATTTTTAAGTATTTGGAAAAAGTAAGTAATTCTTCGTATAATTTAGCCTAGAAATCATAATCCGTAGTTTCTAGTCAATATGCACCTACGTTTCTAGTCAATATGTACCATATTGTAGGTATATATGTTTATTTAGCCGACTTAATTAACTGGAATTTAAATTTCACTTGCCAGATTTTAACGAAACAAACTAAGGAACTACATTTTTTTTAAAGCTGAAGGGCCTCATTCAGCTTTGCCGCCCCTGGCCTCTGACGAGCTTAGTCCGCCACTGGGCGGAACGGCTTGCTTACACGCGTAGCGAGATTCATCGTTCATCCATGATGACGTAATGATGCACCTTCTTGATAGATCCACATTGAATTGCAATAAGTATAATTAACCAGCCTCCTTATTAGCGGCGGTACCTAAATCCTAATGATCTCAAACTACAATTTCATATGAAAATAAAAAACTTACGTGGGCATCGATTTTGTGGAGTCCCAGCATTTTGATCTTTGGACAGAAAGATATTCTGTTTTTATTATCTATCATTGGTTTATTCAAATAGTGCGTAGGATGACGAGAAGATCAAAAGGGTCCGAATCCGAACCGACGACCAAATTTCTGAAAAGGTTCGCAAGGGTTTATTCTCTTCGCTGATGATATGAATGACGACCTCCGTGGCCGAGTGGTTTGTACGCCGGGTTTCAAGGTGTCGCCTACTCAAAAGGTCTCGGGTTCGAATCCCGATGAGTGCAGATGTTTGTGTGACGAATACGAGCATTTGTACTCCAATCCTAGATGTTTAATATGTATTGCTATATAAATATACTTATATCAGTATCAATATATGTACTCTATGCGTTACCCTAGTATCCCATAAAACAAGCCTACTTTGGGGCTAGGCTTATTGGTGTGTTGGAAATATTGATTTATTTATGTTAAATATGTAATTTGAACATAAACATATTGATACAAAATCATATACTATTTTTACTGAGTGCCTAATATGCAATGTCTAGTTTAGTTATCTAATTAATACGACATGAATGATAGAACACTTTTATCCTGTCAGTCAATAAAGACTGTGGATAGCAGAAACGATTATCATTTTATTATCATTCGTAGATGGAGTCGCCTTCGGTCTTGGGTAATATTTTTACCTCTACTGTTTACAGATAGCAACATCTCAGCAGACCCTCCTAACCCCTACTTCTAACCAATGTCAAATGTGGCATCTTCTTTGAGGTGGATGCCATGGAACAGAAAACCTTTCTTCTGTTCTGTGGACTAGGGTAGGGTTGAGAGATTAAACAATTTCATGCTGTTGCAACATTCTTTATGGGTTCTTTGTGATTTTTCTATTCTACCCCAAGTAGAGTTAAGGTCGTCAGCATGCACTGTAGCTTTAAAAAAACCCCTAGAGCACCTTAATCAAGGGAAAGAAGAAAGTTATTAAAGGTATTTTTAATTTTACAGCTCAGTCTGCGCGAGAACCCACTCGTTTCGAGTTTCGACATGAGGCTGGAACCACCTACACTTCTAGAACTCGCTGGACGGACCACCAAATTGCATGCAATACCAATAAATGTAGGAGATATACCAAAAACTTTGATAGAATACCTTAATGCTGCCCAATGCTGCGTAAATCCAAAATGCAAAGGTAAGCATAATAAAAATAAGGTAATTCCTTCTATAATAAGGGAATATTGTAGTCAAGTACTACAGTCAAAATGGAAAGTAATGACTAGGGTTGCAACGATATATCGGAATATCGATTATATCGAGACCAAAATATCGATATTTATATCGATATTTAAAATTCACTGATATCGATATCGGAAATTCCAAAATATCGATATTTCGTAGACTAAATTTGAACACAATAATATCAATTAATTTACCTGCTATGACTATCTAAATTGAATAATATCGAAATAACTATTGCTTTGAAATCGCAAGAGCTCATAGATGTATTAAAAAATCTTGAACCCCAAGAAATATACTAAACTGGTGTGGATTCTGGCATGATTCTCTAAACCTAAAATTAAATTTGACAACAGTGTATCCTTGTCATTCTCTATACAGAATGAAAAGGAGAGACTGATGTTAAATTAAGTTTTAAGTTTAGATAATCGTGCCAGAATCGACACCAACGTATATAGGTATAATCGTATACCTAATGGTAACTCAATACTTAAATAAAATCCTTGCCTCTCTTTCTAGATAATTGTCAACTACTGATTAATTGAAATTTAATATCATTGTAATATAACGCAAAATAAAATTAAGAATCCTATACAAATCGTAAATTTTTTAAGCTCGCCAAGTCAAGAAAGTAAGATAGGTATAATAATTTTGGAAGCTTTGGGCTTACCCTATTCTGAAGCCATGGGCACGCCCCTGATGTGTAGGTTTTACTAATACATAACAATTGTTTTTCATATGATTATCTATTCTGATTTTGGCTGCGTGCAAACATTTTAAACAAAATAAATATCTTTGATTCGAAATTGCTTTTGATTTGATACTTCTTACAGCGCTATTAAAATATAGAAAATATCGTGTTGGAATGGCTGATATATCGGATCGAATATCGATATTTACCTGCCCACATTATCAATATCGATATTTCGGAACCTTTGCTTCCTTAATTAAAGGTTTCTGCTTTGCAAACTTAATACAAAGCAAAAAAAAGAAAAAATATCGATATATCGATAATATCGAGTTAAAATGGTCGATATATCGGATATCGATATTTTCCTGACTTCGATATAAATATCGATATTTCAAAAGACTTTGCATCCTTAGTAATGACTAATAAAAATCTAAGCCATTTGCTAAATATGAAGATTGATTGAGATTTAATATCCTTCAAATCTTATGTACCTACAACGTCAATGCTGCATTTATAGTCATCATCATCAGACTATTAATATCGCCACTGCTGTGCTCAGGCGCAGGCCTTCCCTATGGGTGGAATAGCGAGAATGGGCCGTGACCCAGTGCAAATTAGTGGGTAGGTCCAACAGACTGCAGATGCAGTTGGGACCAACGGCTTAATGTGCCTTCCGAAGCATGGAGGGGGTCGAGACAACAGGTTTTTGGTCACCCATCCAATTGCAGAAGTGGCTTAACTTCCATGATTGCAATTCATACGCGATAACTACAAGCAAGACCAAGCTCCTCATTTACAGTACACATCTGGAAATGAGCTTCCAAGTTTTGTTGAACAGGATAAATAACATAAATAAATAATTTCCCAAATGTGTTCAATTTATCTAGGAGATAGTGTGCCTTTGTGTTCATTTGTAATTCCTATTTTCTTATAAAATTTTATTGATTTCAGGTGTCTACTTTGGTAATTGTGTAGAGTTTGTTGATTTTTGTGGTAAACATCAGATACCACTCCTACAATATCTATGTAGTTCAAAATGTTTCACTGGCAGTTGAGCCGCGAAATGGATAACAATGCTCACCCACACATGATGAGTAAGGTTTTACTCGGATGAAAACTGAAAATATATTCCTATATATAAATAGAGGCACATTAGGTTAATGCTAGCACTTCACATGGCTATTCATATTTTCCATTTGTAATTTGACAGCAGTACATCTTTATCATACTGTATTATGAATAAAAAATACAGACTGCTGCCAAATTAAGTTTAAACAAATAAAATTAGTCATGAGAAGTACCAGCAAAAGATACATATCATTCTTATTATATCAAATATTAAATCTTGTGCTGCACTGAGATGTCAATTAGTGCTTGTCAGACCGATGTGTTATTTTTCAAATCCAATGCAGTGATATCATCAGACTTTAATTAAATATTTCACACTATTTGTCATCTCTGAGTATAGCAGTCAAATATTGTTTAGTAAAATTTAAATTGTTTATTTGTGTCATAGACATAAGTCTTCGTAACTGAAATATTATGCTGTTATCTTTATACATTAATAAATTAAAGAAATATCAATGTTTAATACCTCTATTTATTTATCTTCAAAATTTTCTCTCTTTATTGATATTAAGCATTTTCTTGTAAAAACTTTACTCTCTCTGCTTTGCCCCTTAAAATAGCTTCTTTAAATAACTTACAATATAGCTCTATAGCTACTGGTGTATCATCATTTCCTGGCACTGGATAAGTGATTAGATTAGGATTGCAGTTCGTATCTACAATACCAATAGTAGGAATAAGCATCTTTGCACTGTCTCTCACAGCTGTATGTTGATTGAGTATATTATTTTGAGTATTCAGAAAGATGCAAAGATCTGGAAGTCTTGTAACAGCACCAAACTGATGATTAGCATTTGTAAATATACCTCCTCTCCAAAACCTAGTGTGTGCATATTCTCCACATTCTTTGGCGGTTTTTTCTACTGTGTGACAATTTAGTGCATTTCTGTTGAAGAAACAAATAATACCACCTCTATAAGCAATATGAGCAGTAAAATTAAATGCTCTTCGAAGGTGTTTGGCTGTAATATCCAAGTCAAACATTAAATGGCCAAGTCTTGATCCATAAAGATAAGGTCGCATATAGTCATTAAGTGATCCTTCTTTATGGCCACAGTGTACACGAGCATCAAATAAATCTTTTACTGTGAATAAATTATGAACTTTAAAATAGTCAGGATTGAATGGAAGGATTGATTTTTAGCGGTGTAACATCTGAAACAGACATGACCAATGATATTTCAAAATCAGTAACAGAAGAAATAAAATTATCTATTGCAACCAAGCAACAAATTATATCTTCGTAATCACCTTCACTTGTGGTCTCCTGTAATTGAGCTGGTGCTGTTGAATTATGTCTTCTAAATGTGAAACCTAATTTTAAAGGGTGGCGATCTGAAATAAAAATAGAAACAAGATTTATCAATTATACAAAATTAGGCAGAAATGAGTAAGGTTATATCAAAGTTTGCTTACTAAAGCTCCTTGAAATCATCTCAGTAGGTTTTGTGTACAATGTACCTAATTTGCTAACTACACATTTAGCTAATAAATGTTTATTTTTGTAAAAACAACACCGCTGATTTATTTATATCAGACGCCCGAGCACGAGTTTTGACAGCTCCGTATAGGAGTGGGCATTATATAGAATAAATCGTTTTCACAACGTTTTCGCTGAGCCACAACGCAAACGTTATGGGTGACGATGTATGCTTTCCAATTACAGAGCATAATGCGACTCAGTGCCGCACAATGCCCAATTATGCTGATGCTTAATTGGAACGTGAATTAGTTTTCAAATGCACCAGCTGAGTGCGCTAAGTTCAGTGTTGAAAAAAAAAGACAATGGTGCCAATTCTGGCGTGATTCTCTAAACTTAAATCTAAATTTAACATCAGTCTCTCCTTTTCATTCTGTATAGAGAATAACAAGGATACACTGTTGTCAAATTTAAGTTTAGGTTTAGAGAATCATGTCAGAATTGATACCAATGTTTGTACCTTCATCCATACTTATATTTATTTTTTAACAGTTTGAATGAACTTTGATTATTTAAAAAAAACTATTTAATGAAACGAAAGCTTTAATAATTTTTCAACAATAAATAATATTACTAACGATAACATATAAATAAAACATTTAGATCAATGCCAACTTAAAGAAAAAACACTTGTTAATTTTCTGTCTCTAAGTTGGTACCATTGCACGCATCACACGAAAGCATCACTTTTGAGAGTGCTCAATTGTGCGAAGCGTTGCTGTAGTTGGAACACTCAACGTTAATTCACAATGCTGTAATTGGAAAGCAACCATTGACAACGATCTATTTCCCACAACGATCTATTTCTCACAACGCAAATAACATGACACAGGGCGTTGCTTGCTGTGGCGTTTTTGTGATATCTTCACGAGAAGTGACAACGTAAAGAATGGTAGTATAATAAAAAGCTTGTAAAAAAAGGGTCTCTTGCGTTACCCGTAGAGCATGAAAAAAGAGATGGGCTATCTATTCAGATACTTTGCATTGCACATTGCACATGCTGCAGTTGTGTTGTGCGATAATTTATGTTATTGTACTCTACTAAGATAATACTTGGTTGGTTTCTTCAGTGATGGCTCCCTCAGGATTTGGCCAATATCTGATGTTTGTGTCCAAAATTTCTTGTCTAGGTTTGTTCGGTGAGGGCTTGTTTATTGTTTTAAACTCTGCTTATGCTGTGGAAGGGCTTTGTGCAAGTACAAGGACCTAGGATTTGGGAAAAGAATAGGGAAAAACAGATAGGAAAGGTTAAGATATAATATATGTTGAGCTGCCTGAAACAATAAGTAATAAAGCTGAGATATGAGTACCAGTGAAACTATATCTACAATTTAATATTGTTAGAATCAATATACATACACGGAATATTCACAAAATCTGAATAAACTAAAGATAATATAGTTGAAAAATCTGTAGGAAGATGGACATGTGACGGAAGCAATGAACAGAGGGAATGGCTATTTTTGGAGCAATTAAAAAGATATGATCTGTGGTACCCTCGTCGATACCACACTCGCACAAGGAACTGTCCCTCACCCTAATCTTGGCCAGGAAAACGGGAGTACATACGTGACCAAGTCTTAGTCTGCATAATGTGGAAACAACTCTTTTTTTGGCATTTCGCATTTTGGTAAACCATGGAGAATGTGGGATATCTGGCTGAATATTCGCATAGAACTTGCCTTTTGATTTACTTGATTCCTTCCAAAATTTTGACCACTCTGTAAACAAATGCTTTTTAGCTAAGGAAGCTAGGTCATTAGGGTAAGTGCCGCAGTGATTGGGGGATCCGCTAAGTGTAGCTTATTTGGCCCAGGGATCCATGTCAAAATAATTTGTAAACCTTGCTGATGACATTCAAATAAAATAGTTTTAATGGACAGTATAAATTGAAATTTTGATTTAGAGCTGAACTGATTACTCATTATGGCTTGGAGACAACTTTTAGTGTCTGAAAAAATTATTACTTTATTAAGACTATGGGATTGAATAAATTTGAGGGATTCTAAAATAGCAATAGCTTCACCAGTGAACACCGAAGAATATTGAGAACATTTGAAGTCAAGAATTATATTATATTTTGGAACCCATACTGCTCACCCAACGTGACTATCATCTGTTAGTTTTGAAGCATCCGTATAAATAGTAAGCCAATCAGGCCACTGAGACCCAAGTCTGCAATTCAAGATGTTTTGTGCTGCTGGAGAATTTTTGCCAATATCTATGTCCAAGATTATGTTAGGCTGATAAATTAAAGCTTGATATGGGGTTTCAAATAAAGGATTGAGTCTTCATTGATAGACAGGGGATGGTAGTTGTAATATTTTTCTAAAACTAATTAACAGACATGGGAGATTTTTGTGGGACCAGTAGCTACTTGAAGGAATCAGTTGGTTTAACTGATGAAGTTTAGGAATTAGTGGATGCGATGAGCGTTCGAAAATTTTAAATATAAATTTGTCTGACATATACTGCTGCCGAAATTCTAAAGGAGGCTCGACGCATTCTACCTGCATTGCATTAATTGGAGACGACTTCATGGCACCTAAAATGATACGTAGACACTTAGATTGAATTTTGTCAAACAATTTTAGAGCTATTTTGCTACAGGGTTCGAGTAAGAAAGATCCATAATCTAAGAGGCTGCGGACAAGTGCATTATACATCATTTTTTGTGTACTTGGGTGGGCTCCCCACCATACACCCGAGAGTGCTCTAATTATATTTAAATTTCGTTCACATTTTTTAACAATGTAGTTAATATGGGGGACCCCAGTTAATCTACAGTCTAATACCATACCCAGAAATTTTACTATGAGGGATAGACCGAGCTCTTGAGAAAACCACAACACTGCGCTTTGGGATGGATAGTGATAAGCCATGGTCAAATAGCCAATCATTCAGGTAGTAAATAGCTGAATTCAGTCGACTGGAGGCATCCGATATATTATCGACATCTACGTATAGTGCAAGGTCATCTACATATTGTAGTACATTACAAAAGGAGGTCACCGTAAGGTCTAAGTCATGGGTGTAGAAGCTATAGAGCAAGGGGCTAAGAACTGAGCCCTGTGGGAGACCTTTCCAAATCTTTCTGGGTGGGAGATTTAAATTTTGATAACTAACAGAGACTGAACGATCATTAAGAGTATTACAGATAAAATTAACAAACTTCTCAGGGATGTCCAGCTTAAGCATCTTCTGCCTAAGCACTGGGAGGAGGACGTTATCGTAGGCAGATGCAATATCAAGGAATACACCCACCACTGACCTTCGTTTAGACAAAGCAACACGGATAACTGTCACAAAGGTACCCAGACTATCCATGGTGCTCAGCCCTTTCCAAAAGCCGAACTGGGTTTCTGATAATTTATTATTGTTTTCCAAAAACCATTCCAGACGATTTTTAATGAGGCGCTCTACAACTTTAAGCAAAGTATTAGAAAGTGCTATGGGTCGGAAGCTGGATGGATCATTACCTTGTTTGCCACTTTTAAGAATAGGGATGATAATTTGGGTCTTCCATTCCTCAGGGGGGGTGCCAGATTCAAATATTGCATTAACCATTTTTAAAAAGTGAAGTTTCGTCTCATTGCCGCTCTTAGTAATGAATGAGTAAGGTATTCCGTCAGCTCCAGGGGCGGAATCTTCTAGGAGATCTCCTCCCAGGAGAATGGAGCTTCCAATGGGTTAGATGAAAAAGAAGGGGAGCCAGGAAGATTCCTAACCTCCTCCAAGGAGGGCGCAGAAAGGGGGCCAATTTTACGGCTAAAGGGTACAAGCCATGCATCAGGCTCAGAAGAAGAGAAATTTTCATAGGTATCAGAGTATGATCCACCAAATTTTCTAATATTTTTCCAAATAAGAGAAGGTGATGATCTCGGGGACAAAGAAGTACAAAACTTGGTCCATCCCTCCTTTTTCTTAAGCCTCAGTCATAGCAGATGAATAAGCCTTCTCAGCTATCTTCCGATTTTTTATTGCAGCAGTGCAGTCTTTATCCCACCAAGGCGGAGAGCTGATATTGTTACAAGTTGGCGATTTCCTGATTGGGATACACTCATCAGCCACTGAGAGCATGGTATTCTTGAAAAGTGAATAGTGGTTGTCATTATTATCTGGAACCTGAAGGGATGGGAGGAGTTTCATTTTGTCATCTAACCTGCTACTATACTTATTCCAGTCTGCTCGGGCCAAAATATGTTTTTGCCTGGGAGTGATATGCGGGGCTTCTTTTCTTGGTGCAGGCAAGAAAACTAAAATGGGGTAGTGATCACTCCCATATGTGTTTGTAAGAATTTGCCAGTTGAGATTAGAAGCTAAGCTAGCAGTGCAAATAGATAGGTCAACTGCACTCTTTGGGTTCTGATTTGGAGCAACACGACGTGTTGGAGAGCCGTCATTTAAAATGCAGAGATTTAGGTCATCTAGTAAATCTAAGAATGTGGAAGAGAGGGAATCAGAAATGTGACAACCCCAAACTTCATTATGTATATTAAAGTCTCCCAGAATGATATATGGTTTTTCAATTGATTTGATAATAGAAAACACTTGCGAGTAATATATAGATAAATCAGGATTAGGGATATAAATGGATATAAAAGATATGTTCATTGCTCGAATTGCAATTATATTAAACTTTTCAGTATTGTGAGAGGATAGATCAATAGGATGGAAAGAATAATTTCTTAATACAAATAAAGCAGAGCCACCTTTGTCATCATTTCTATCATCCCGGAGACATGCATAGCCCGGGATCCAGAATCTGGATCCCGGCTTAAGCCAGGTCTCCTGAATGGCAAGAATAACTGGCTTATGATAGTTAATAATATAAATTATATCAGATTTTTTATATTTAATACTCCGGCAGTTTCATTGGGGTATTGGAGTGAATTTTATTACCTAAAAAGGAAAGCTCAGTCAGTTTTTGCTTGAGGTTGTTCGGTAATTCAATATCTTCGAATCGTTTAATAAAATTAATAAGTGTAGAAAGCTGAAGAAATAACATTTCAATTAAATTGTCATTCGGTTCAGTAACTAAAGAGGTATTAGTAAGAGCACAACCATTTGGCTGTGTTGAGGTTGGAGTATGGGCAAGTGAATTCTGTGTTTGCCTATCATAGCTATGACTAGAGGCTGGAGAAGGAGAATGACGGGGTAATGAAATAGTCTTTTTATATGAATATGCTATGGGAAGAGTTGGTGGCCTAGGGACAGAGCTGCTCAGGTGAATTTGAGAATTTGAAGGTAAACGACTGGAGTCAGCATATGACTTTCTAACAGGGGCAAATCTTGCTGAGGCTTCCATATAGGAAACATTCTCCTGGGACATAACCAACTTAATAGACCTTTGTCTAGCATGTTCAGGACAAGAGGAATGAGTAGCTAAATGGCTTCCTAAGCATAGTATACACTTGGGGGGAGCCTGACTTAAGCAGGATTCACCCTCATGCATTTCTCCACATACGAAGCAGCGGGGTTTGGAACGGCACAGAGACTTTATATGTCCGAATCTACAGCAATTATTACACTGGATTACCGGTAGCCTGTAAATTTCCACCGGTAATGAAGTGTAATAGCAATACACATGATCTGGAAGCTTCTTGCCAATAAAAGTCACAACCACGGTCTGAGTAGGGATCCAGGTGGAAGCAGAGTTTGCAACAGTTACCTTTCGGTTTAATCTCCTCGCTCTAAAAACTTTCCCATGGCCATCAGGAACTCGTACATTTTGAATTAATTCTTCCATGGACGACTCTACTGGAACATTCCTGATAATGCCCATTCTAGAAACGTTAAAAGATGGGATGGACGCTAGGTAATTATTGTTAAGCAAAGCAGGGTGGTCTATAAAAGAATTAGCATCAGATGCAGATTTAAATTCTACCGAGATACGGTTTCTGCCAACCTTTTTTACTCCATCTGCAACTACATTTTTTATGTTGTGTGTAAAAAGAAATTTACCAAAATGCATTGGGCGAAGGACAGTGCCTTGTGATGGTTCAGACTCTTTTTTAGATATATGTACAATAAAAGGTCCAATGTCATCAACATTATATTGAATTTTGTTTTCAGCATACTCTGGCAATATAAATGTTGTTTGAACAGACGCCGTAATTTGAGCCGAGGATGTTTTTTTTGCTGGTATATTATGGTTTGTGCTAGAAATGCTTTGCGATCGTTTTCTATTGATTGCTGATGAATTATCTTGACTTTGAATAGAAGGAAAGATATCTTGGGACTGCAAAGGAGGGTCAACGCCGCCTCCAGGAT